GAAAACTCTTTTTACTTTTGAGAAAGCTTTCGGAATTTATTTAATTCCTTCGTCAGTCTCTCTAAAATGAAATGTACAATTATAATATTCAAAAGAAATGGGTATTAGAAATTACTCACAGTATATGAGATTGTAGAATTGCAAATCAGAATAAGTAGTATAAAATTGTAAAAAAAATGCATAAATTATTCGATTCATTGATTGAAAATTCCTATCCAAATTACCTAATTAATTACTTAACAATGATATAAACAATGATGTAAATACATTTGTCCATTCAAATTATCATCTATAAAAAGTGGTCCAATAATATTTTTGCCAAAAATACCACACCAAACATTCAACTTCTGCGGAGTTTGTGTGTGGACCTCACGTATTAACCTGGGATTGGTATCGCACCAGTAGCGGCAATTGTGACGATTTACGTTTCCATTAACAAAAAATGTACTCTCGTCTGAAGAACAAATATTGAAGAGCAAATTGGGATTTGTTCTCAGACGCTCGATTTCCTCACAAAACTGTTGACGTCTGTCAAAATCGTCTTCGTTCAGTTCATTTACAAGTTTCAGTTTGTATGGATGGAATCGATGTGACTTGAGAATTCTCTGAATACTCGATCGCGCTACACCTGACGCGTCAGCCAAGCTTCGAATACTTTGAGTAGGATCCATAGCCACGTGTCCCAAAACCGCTACCTCAACAGCCTCGTTCCTTATCAGACGTTCAGGATGATGTTTCTGGTTTCCCACAGACCCAGTTCTTTCGAATTTCTCAATCAACGTTTGAACATAGGTATGAGATGCATTTTTCCCTGGATGCCTTGTATTGAAAATTCTAGCTGCAGCTCTTAGACAATCATCATTTCTGTAGTAAACTTTCACTAACTCAATTCGTTCTTCTAATGCGTAAACCATTGTCAGGCAGAAACCTAACTCACAGAATACGAATCAAATGATATTTCCAGAAGAATCATGCGAACTGTGAATTCATGCTGAGAACATACACGCAGGAGAACCATAAAAAACAGGTATTTTTTGTCTATGAAAAAGTCAACAGAACAAAAACTAAGAAATATGGTTTCCGATCTTCAGTGCCGTGGTCGGTTCACCTCTGTGGAGGAGGTTCCTATGTTGTATTCGCGAATAGCGACATAAAACTGATACTTGGTTGAAAGATCTTCGCAATTAATTGTCCCAGCCTGGATACTTACTTTGTTTTGACTAATTTGTTTTCGTTTTTCGTGGGGTGACTGGATTACCTGACCGGATGGGATGTTGCTATTGTCTATCTGTCCACTCATTGAGTCTTAAAATAGTTAATAAATTGAATTTGAATAGGAACAGGTAAGATATTGACTATTTACATTGAACCTGTCAACAACACTAATTTCAATTACCATTCATTCGATTTTGAAAAAATTATGGACGTTTGGATAGAGAATAAAGAGAGCTTTAAGATGATGTATCACTCGACCCACGTTCCCTATGATGATTCGCAAGGGGGTAGCCCCGTCAGGGGGATCAAGTTGCTCGACTAAATCCATTACTAACATGTATCCCCCTAGAAATTGAAATCGACATGTTTTCGCGATTCCGAAAATAATTTGTCATTTCCCAGTAAATCCGGGTGGAAAGTTTTCGTTGGGACACCCTGTATGTCCATCATCAGCCTTATGAGAAATTACATAAATAGTGTCCTAAAATTATAATGGTTATTAGTAAAAACGACAAGTTATGAAATGGAGTGCTTACATGGGGATAAAAAAAGGTTATGTGACCAAATTTAACATTTCAAAATTTTTTTTCCTCTGTTTGGGTTTTAAGAAATTATTAAATGGGGAAACCCAACAAACCCCCGGAAATTACTATACAATGTTTTTTTGTTTTTTGTAATGACCATCCAATGGCACATATGGATGCGACATTGGAATTGGAAACGTGTCCATCTTGCCCTGCACCAGCACACGACGGACATCACTTGACCAGGCGGAAAGAACCACGGCATGTTTCACACGTCACAAGTCAATAAAAAAGACAAGTGGCACGAGACAACACGGTGGTGACTGTCCACCCAGCGGTGACATACCATCGGTGTACTGCAGGGCAAGATGGACACGTTTCCAATTCCAATGTTGCATCCATATGTGCAATTTGATGGTCATTACAAAAAACAAAAACATTGTATGGTAATTTCCAGGGGTTTCTTGGGTTTCTCCATTTAATGATTTCTTAAAACCCATTCACAGGAAAAAAAATATTGCACAATCACAGACTTGTAATAGGGTATTATCCATTTGTAGATTGAGACTATTCTTTAGAAAGTTTATGTTATTTTTTCTACCGAAATGGAGTACCTTGGATTTTACAGAATTAAGTTTCAAGTTGTGTTCATAGGAAGATGTCTTGATTCTATTCAATTCATTGATCGTGATTTCTCCTGCAAAAGCGAGATCTTCAGTACGAAAGTTGAGATACAGCTGAGTAACATCAGTAAAAGCCTGTATTTTACATTGTTCTATTTCATTCAGAATATCGGCGGTACATATAAGGACCTTGATATTGACTTTTTTTATCGCTTGGAGCGCACGAAAGAAAATCCCTATAATGTTAAAAGAACATAGTGCGTTCCTAGGGAGGATAGGGACAGCAGGTAGGGATTGGAATTTTTTGGTACTTCTAGAGATTATATGTTGTTGGGAATACTTCCTCAGGCAATGGATTCTAGAGCCTAGCCGTTCTATGGATGAAGGAGTTTTGATAAAGTGCTGTTCGACATCTTTCGCCGTTGACAACGAAAGGATGTGCTGACTGGGCTTGTCTAGTTCGTCTGACTGGTATTGCTAGTGAAGGGATGGAAGCAGAGATTTCCGTAGAATATTTCCCGTGGAAGTATCGATAGAAAAGTGAAAGGTCGCCGACCTTTCTACGGTGTTCCAATGATGTCAAAGAGTGAGTGAGTGTGGCGTCACCCACCAGGCGAATGGCTCTTCTCTGGATGGAATCTAAGAGCATCAGCGTATGTTTTGGTGCTGAATCCCATATGTGGGAACAGTATTCTAGAACAGGCCGTATCTGCGCTTTATAGATCATGAGAAGCTGTTGAGGTGTAAAGTAGATTTTCGCACGGAACAAGAATCCGAGTTTTTGTGAAGCAGCTTTTGCGATGGATCTGACATGATTATCCCATGAAAGAGTGTTGCTGATGGAAATACCGAGCATAGATATGGGGGGCTTGGTGGGGATGGTGGTGCCAGACATTACAATATCGGGCATACTGAGTTCCGCCTTTCTAGAAAAAATACAGGCTTGAGTTTTGGTGGCGTTGAATTCAACTAGGTTGTTGGTTCCCCAGGCTGTGATTTCAGCAAGGTCTTCATTAACAGCATTGACCTGCCTGCGCCGTGAGTTCTTAGTTTCCTGGGAAGAAATGGGAATTCTGCAAGAGAACGCAGTATGGAGGGTATCAGCTTAGTACTAGACACTGACATGCGTTTTGCTCAGCACATGAAAAATATTATTGGTCAAGCTTTCGAATCCCTAAAACTCATTTTCAGTAATCGACATGTTCTCAGTGTAAAAATGAAAAGAACTTTGTGCGAGTCACTCGTGTTGAGCCACTTCAACTATTGCGACTTTCTTCACGGTCCTTGCTTGACGAAAATTAATAGAGATAGAATACAAAAAGTCCAGAATAGCTGCTGTAGACTAATCTATGGTATCAGAAAATATGATCATATTTCACCTAAACTTATGGAATGCAACTGGCTCAATATGAACAATAGAAGACAGCTCCACTTGGGTACCTTTACTCATAAATTATTGAGTGACTCCAATCCTCCAGCTCTGGCAAGCAAATTTATTCCCCGATTCAGTATACACTCTAAAAACATCAGACAGAGAACTATCCTAACCATGCCGCATCACAGAAATACATTTTCTCAAAGATGTTTTGTCTTCAATGCTATTCAAATGTATAATATTTTACCTGAAGAATTTAAAGTTCATAATATAAATAAGTTCAAGTATAAATTGAAGAAGCATGTAATCGATACGCAGTCTTGATATAATATTATTTAGTACATCCTTCATGTCGTAGAGTTTTTTATCACTTGAAATTCTATTATTTGTATTGCTAGCAATTGATTAGTAAGTACCCATTATATGTATTGCACTACATTTTATTTTCTCTTATTTTTTTGTTGTTTTCTAAAGTCATTTTGCTTTTTTGAGCATATATTGCCCTCTGTTGGTTAAGTGGAATAGCTTTGAGCTAGACTTCGCCAACAGTCTATGTAAGATTTTTTTTCATGTATTTCACTTATGACAATAAAAGGCGTTTATTATTATTATTATCATTATTATTATTAAATCCGTGTCGCTAGAATAATTAGTTTATAATGATAGAATGATTCATCTGAATTACAGCTTATTGTTAATAAAAGGAATGATTTTCCCTCGGCATTTAACGTAATATATCTCTTTGGCATGACATAATTGTGACCTAGCTTTATTTCATTAGGAAGCCCATTATACTCTTGTAAGATTCGACTAATAGGATTATTCAGTGCAATATTGGTTCGTACATTCGGCAGCGCCATATTGTTCTGGTTTCTTGTATCATGGTTCTGTATGCTACGTCTATCAGAATTTTTCCATGATAGATATTTTACAAGGATTTTTTATCGTTTCTAACCATTAAAATGAAATTGAAGTGTCTGAAAGTGTCCCGGAGCGGTTAGCTACGGAGCTACACTTACGATACGATTCTAAAAATTGTACGGAAATATTTATGGAAACTTGCAACCAAATATTGGATTAATTGATTATATTCTTGTTGTATCAAAGTGGATATATTTATTTGTAACCTAACCTAACCTGACCTAGGGTTATTTGAATATCTAAGTGTCTATTTCTGTGAAAATAAAAAGCAAATCAAGGTCTATCATTTTTAGTTTTTTCAACATTTATTTGAAATGAAAGAATACACTTATTTCTTTTCAGTATGTCAACAAGAAACATATAAAGCTGAAACTGGTGATGGTCCATGTCTTCCATGCCCCGAATTTTCAACAGGACCAGATTATGGACTAACGGAATGTCAGTGTATCACAGGATATTATCGATCACCCATTGATCCAAAGAATATGCCGTGCACTCGTAAGTATAATATTTCATCATTATACCTATCACAAATATATGGCGTATCGCCCATATGATATTAGGAGCTGTTCTCCCGATTTTTAATATGATTAGGTTCGCAAATAGTGATTGTATGATGATAACATTCAATAATAATTGTTGATGATATAATGAATATTACTTCTTTTGTTCATTCCTTTATAATTTGAGTACTTGACGACTAATGTGTGGATCATGGCTGAGATAAAGTAGTTCAATATAGGAAAGGAAATGTATTCAAACTTACTTATGAAAAGGTTATTCCTAGCTATCTGCTCCTCCATAAAGTCAATTTTTTTCAGACATGGTTCAGAAAAGTTTGCATGTAATGAAAACAAACACGAAAAAATTATACTGCTGAATAAAAATCACTCAGCAACAAACACTCATTATGAATTCACAGTGAACTAGAATGAATGCAGTGTATTGATTCCTCATGAAAACCATACAAAACTAATCTGCTGAACACTTGAACCCCATCAAGCATATTTTTGCTCTGAATTCAACATTGAATATTTTCGCAATTCCACATATTCGGATGCGTTTTTTTCAATTGTGAAGATGAATCCATTGAGTTTATGACAGGTAGACCGCTGATGAAAATACATGGTGACATATAACATACAGGGTGACAAACAAAACTCTAACTATGAAATAGTCACAATGCTCAAAGTGGAATGAAATGGTAAATAAATAGAAAATGCTGGAAATGACTTTGAGCATTTTGTATTTATTTAAACAAAACTCTGCCAAATATTGAAAAATTTTACTTGCTCCAAATTTGATGAAAAATTCTTGTTTTTTTTAAATCATATTTTCATAATGCTCAAGCATATTCCTCGAAATAGTTTCGCAATTTTTCTCTCATATCTCTTCAAGTATTCCAATTTTTTTTTCGAAAAATGTGATATTTTGTACTTCTGACCAGAAATATTCTTTTTTGTAGCTCTATTTTCAGAGATTTCATATTAGATAGGTTATTTCGACCTACCCTTGTATGGAATCTGATATTCTTTATATATAGAGTGTTTGGCACAAATAATGGATAGATTTTAAAATTTGTATAGTGTTCGAGATTGAATAAGAGTAATTTTCCTTGAGGTTCCACAAAAAACGAGAGAGGAAGAATGGAATATGTATTCAATGAAACATGGGGAGTTTATTAAGTGATATATCAATGACTCTCTCTTATGTTGTTAGTATACACCTTGTATATACCACACTGATCAACATTTCAAAGTTGTTGAATGTTCATAATAAACGGACATTTTTAACACAATACATGCTCAAATCTCTTCCTGAAAACGGTCATTTGCCTCGTGGCAATGCATGCAGAACTCATTCCAATGATCAAATTGCAACTATCATATTAATATGTACTACAAACACTACTTGAAAAGGTAAAACTGCATTCATCATGCGATGGTTTTTTTTTTCAAAATTATTTTGGTACTCACGTATTTTTGTCTGAAAAACACGAATTTGATAATGAAAATTTGAACACTCCATTATTTATCAAGATAATTGACTATAAAGTTACAAATTTCACCTCCTTTTTCGCCTGTCTTCTGGATGGCATTTAGAACAATTTTCCCTTCTTTTTTCATCATGGCACATTTCTTTCTATTATATGATACTATGAATATGATTTTCTTGAGATTTATCCATATTTAGTGAAAAGAAGGAAGAATATCATTTAAAATAATGGCGTGTGTAATGTCATTCCAAAGCAATCTATTGACATTTGACATCTCGTATTTTGATTGACTATTGATTAAATGGCCGTAATCTGGAATGCTCGTTCACTAAATATGAAAAACTTGTCATAAAAATCATATTTTCTGATGAATTTTCTATATAAAAATGTGTCATGAGTATATAAAGTGTCCAATGACAAAATAAGAAGAGCAAGTAGCTTTAAATGCCCCCTTCACAATGGGAGAAAGAATGCGAAATTTCGAACTTTTTCTTGAAATATCTGGATGAATAGTGGTTTGTTCACATTTTCATTATCAAATTCGTGTTTTTCAGACAAAAATACGTAAGTACCAAAAAACTTTTCGAAAAAAAACCATCGCACGATAAATGCCGTTTTACCCTTGAAAATTAATCCAACAACAGGAAATTGAAACCACTCACTGGCTAATTTTTTAGGTAATAAGAATTCTCCAAGATAAATATAGGTAATTATACCAAACGGCATGTCTATCAAAAAGAAATACATTTTCCACAATTTTCTTTCGATCAATCTCACGATAAGTTTATGTTCTGCGGGCCCTGTATAAGTAGGTGTGCCAATATTTTCAATCCGAATGGTTTGCTGTAGGTGGGTATTTGTGTTTTATTCTGGTTTTTGCTTTGAAACTCCGTTTTTCCATGATAAAATCGAATAGGGTGCGAAGAAAGGCTCAGTTGAGGACTGGCATCCTTTTTTAACCGGAAGCCCTTCAAAAAACAGCAAAATCGGCTCAATAATTATCTAAAACTGAAATTGAAATACGCGGTCGCCTTATAGCGCCATAAGCGCTTGTCGTTCCGAGCCGCTGGTTAGGCCTCACTAAGGTGACGTCACCACGGAGCATGCAGGCCTCACTGTCTCGATGGTAACTGTATAGGTCACAAATAAGAAAAAAACTCTGAAAATAGAGCTACAAAAAAGAATATATCTGGTAAGAAGTACTAAAAAATTTCACATTATTCTATCAAAAAATATTTTTGAAAACTCGAAGAGATAAGAAAAAAATTGCGAAACCATTTCGAGGTACATGCTTGAGCATTATGAAAATATGATTGAAAAAATTCAAAAAATTTTTCATCAAATTTGTTTGTCACCCTGTATAGTCAGATTCACCCCGTATTTTCATCAACGGTCTAGCTGTCATATAGTCGACGTATTTATCTTAAAAAAAAAACAGCATCCGTGTTGGGCGCCTCGAGAATACCCTGTATGCAAAACGTGTTAACATCATATTGGAATGTGTGAATCACTTCATAGGAACTTATAAAGACGTCTCTAGTCAGTCGGCCTTGATCCCTACGGGAAGAAGGTTACCACTGTGAGCCACGTTCCATTTATTTGGTTGTTTACCGATAATAGTTCTTTTAACAATCCAAATACCGTAAAACAGGGTGAATAGAAACTTGGGGGCAAATAGAAACAAGTATGGAGCATTTGCTGAGAAAAATCACCTCAAATTCAATTCTAGAAACTTTAAATCCTATCTTGTTTACGCATTGCATATGCGCCAACATAAATTCATCGAATTTTACTGATTTTCCATTGGCAACACCGTTTTTTTGTTATTTTAGTCGAACATATTATTGTGACACCTGTGCATTGCTGAATAAACTTTAAAATAGAATAAAATAAGTTTATTATGATTGTTAGGAATTAATACTTGTTTGTATAGAATTCGTCAGAATTATATCTAGAATAAATGCAATACAATAATAGTAAAAAATATTATGAGTTTAAAAAAAATATGGATAGAATAACATCAAAAAAGATTAAAACAGTTTATGAAACATAGTCAAAGAGCTCACTAAGTGAGTAAAACATATTTTCAGTGAGGAGAGCTTTCAGGCTATTCCTGAATTTGAAGTGAGTAATACAATCGCTGACACTTCCTGGCAAATTGTTAAAAATTTTGATACCCATGTTTGTAGGGCCGGTGTAGATTAGTTGTAAGTTTTTTTTGGGTGGGTGAAGTAGGTTGTTATTCCTTGTTGAATAGGAGTGTATGTCAGTGTATGTCAGTGTGTGCAATTAGATTATTTCTAGTGGTAGAATGGTGAGTTGTATGAACAGTGGCTTGCAAGGGTGAGACCTTGGCTTATTGGAGATGGTTCCAATAATTTTTTTCTGGGTTAAGAAGAGATTTTAGACTATTGATATATATGACTTTGCGCGTACATCTGAGTTGATTGATTCTGGAATTCATCACTTTAGTTAGGCAGTTTGAATGTTCATGCCAGTCCAGTGATTCATGAGTGTGATTCCTAAAAAAATCATAGTATCTACTCGTTCCAGATTAGAGTTCTTTAAATGTAATGTCAGTGGGTCAACTGTCCTTTGTTAAGTATGGAATATCAGAAAATTTGTGTTACTGAGGTTTAGATATAGCTGGTTGGCCGAGAACCATGTGTACATTTTCGCATGCAGTGAATTGCATTCTTGTTCATTCTGACAGTTGGATTCGTGTGAGGAGGAGTCCTCAGCGTAAAGAGTGATCATATGACCTGACAGATAATCAATTAGATCAGCAATGTAGAGGGAAAAAGCATAGGTGCTAGAACACTGCATTGGGGAACCCTCGTTATGAGTCCGTGGTGTTTGATTGTTTAGATACTACTGTACCTCATATATTGGTAGCTTCAATTTCAACATATTGACTTCTATCAGAGATGTGAGATTCGAGCCAGTTTGCGGCTGAATCACTAATTCCATAGGTCCAAAATTCGCTCAGCAGATGAATATGATGGACGCAATCAAAAGCTCTACTGAGGTCACAAAAGATTCTCACTGGGCATCTTTCATGTTTCAAGTCATCTAGTACTCTATTATAAAATTCAACATTAGCAGTGGTCGTAGATTGTCTTTTTCGAAAACCGTGTTGTTCATTAGGAATAAGTTTGTTGTATTTTTCTGTGAAACTGGTAATTCTATCTAACATGCAGTATTCATATAGTTTTGCAAAAGGAGATAAGCCTGAGACGGGTCTATAGTTTTCCATTTTTGTCTTGTTAGTTCTCAAAGTCATATATTACTTTTGCAAGCTTTGAGTGGTCAGGAAAAACTCCAGGCAGAAAGGAGTGGTTGACCAAATAAGTCAGAGGTGTTTCCATTTCTTGCGAGCATTCTCGGACAATTCTAGATGGACCCGTGGACCATTTGTTTTTGAGTTTTGAAAAAATTGTAAGCATTTCCATTCCCGAGAAGGGCAGAAGATAGAAAGAGTTTGGAATTCTTCTGGCTGGACTTATCGAAGAGACAGACATGTCAATGTTTTCAATTAATTTTTTTGGGGCATCTAAGGAAAACCTGTTGAATAGATCAGCAATTTCCTTGGAGTCTTCGGTTTCCCCATTTCCATGGGTAATCTGGAGTTTATTATCTGTGTTTCGTTTCCTGTTTCTCAGTTCATTGATTATGCTCCAAGAAAACTTATTTTTATTGATAGAATTTTGATTAATATTAGAGTTATACTGTTTTATGACTTTCAACCAGATTTTTGTTGTTTTGTTTCATGCACATTCTTTAAATTTCTGCTATATTTTTGTAAAATGAAGAGATCTCTCAGGTCTTCAGTCGACTTCCTTATTTCAGGTCTAACCCATGTTTTTTTTTAATCATTTTCTTATTTGTGAAAGGAAAACAGTTATTGAAGTGGTTTGGAAAGATTTCAAAAAACTTTTGAAATTTCTCTCTTCTAATAACAGTGACACACATTTTCCATCTTGAATTTAGTACAAAAATGTGCTTGATGCGGTTCAATTGATCAGCAGTTAAGTATAAAAACGCAAACAGTCAGCTTCAAACTCCAATCTAGACAATAGTGATAAAATCTATTAGAAACATGAACATTCAAGACCCTATTGGTATATCAATTTTCTCATTATTCTTTTTCTTACATCCGCATCAACGACGATAGGTTGATTTCGTCCCCTTAATAGATATAAGTTGGTACTCCATATATTAGTAACTGAATACTTTCAATTCGTTGATGATTTACTCCATCCACTATTCATTATTTTTGTAGAGCCACCTTCAGCACCACAAAATTTAACCGTCAGCTTCGTAGACCAGTCGACTGTTATCTTGAGTTGGCTACCCCCTGAAAAACAAGGAGGTAGGACTGACACTGTTTATAGGATAAAATGTGATGCATGTAGCTTGGGTCTCGTTCAGTATAATCCCAGCATGGTGAGTATTTATTTTGAAGTGTTTTTAAATTTATAACAAAACAAGTTTTCTGTTATGATACAATTATATTCAAATATGTTACCTTTATTCCATTAATACCTCTGATATTCAATGTTAAAAAAAAAACATCAATTTCTCACCACAACCTCCATTGTTAAATATCACTGGGGTATTAGTGATGACTCAATGTGGAATTCAATGATTTTACTTGATAATTTGGGATTTTCTCTCCCCGTTTCTATGAAATAAAAATATGAGTATTATTTCCATATATGTATGTGTAGTAGGACAAATCAGATGATTTGCACCAAAATGTCACTGCCTATCAGGGAACCTAAAAGAAAAAAGAAAAAAACTGATAGTTTGTCAGTGACACTTTGTTTGGAAACATGTTTGAAGAAAAGAAATATAGATATATTGAAAAATATTTTCGCATTTTCATGTTGATAAGACGAGTAAAAATTCGATATTTTTTCAATATATCTATAATTCTTCTCTTCTAACATTTTTCCGAACAAAGTGTCACTGACAGGCTATTGGATTTTTTTTAGGCTCCCTGGAGGAAAAATTTGGTGCAAATCATCTGATTTGTACTACTACACATATATCAATAATACTTTTATTTTATAAGAACGAGGTGAGAAAATACCAAATAATCAAGTGAAATGAATTGTAATCTTTGTTCAAATTACTGATAATGGTAGTTGAATGAAACAGTACCTACCATTACATAGGTGTAGAGGTCGACGGACATTCAGTATAAAAAACTTAATTTAAATGTAAATAAATCAACTGTACAAGTGATATATAGAAACAGTATCTACCATTACCAATAATTCAGACAAAAATTCAGAAAATTGACCGTAGTATAGAGATTTGAAATACGTCTCTAAGAAGGCATTCAATTCTACAATTGAAGATCTTGAAAGGGGTTGAGAAACATGTAAAAAATTAATTTTCGATAATTAAAATCGACCTGTCCGAGGATTTTTCCCAAATAAACAGGGTGTTTCATTACTAATTGGAAATATCTCCACTATAGAATCCTGAGCTCAAAATATGATGATTCAACCCAAATCATTTGAATTAAATGTGTCTCCTGTCTGAATTACAGGGTGGTTTACTAATTGGTCTGCTCCAGTTTTCAAAAAAAAAAAAATTTAAATATTCTTCCAAATTATTTTTAGATATCAGTGGCATTCAAATATCAGAATCATTATTAGTTTTGAGCTACTAAATATGTACTATAGTACTGAAAATAACTGTACTCATATCTAATTGGAATTTATCCGGATAAAATTTATCAAATTAAATTTTCAAATGATATTTATAAAAATATTTGACTTCGATTTTAGGAAACTTTCAATGAAACCAGAATAACCATCAGTGGTCTCAATGCTGTGACAACATATCGTTTCCAAATTTTTGCCGAGAATGGAGTTTCCCAACTACAATTAAGAGCAATGCCTGAATATGCAGATATTGTAGTAACCACAGAAGCTTCTGTAGCCAGTAGTATAACAAATATCAGGGTTACATCAGTCAAAAGTACTGAAATTGTCCTAGCATGGGATGCTCCATCGATAAATGATGGCTCTGATATAGAAAATGATGTTGTAGAGGCCTATGAAGTAGGTCTGATTTGTTTATCAATCCATTCAAATTTAACTCGTATTCTGTTTGAGGTTCGATGGTTCCAACGGAATGACATAGATTACAGTAACAATAGTTTGCTAACAACTGATTTATCAGCTGTGATAACAGGTCTTCAACAGAAAACAGAATATGGTTTACAAGTGAGAGCAAAAACTCAAAGAGGTTGGGGAGCTTACTCTCCTGTTATTTTCAAGATTACTGGACAAGTGATGAATACAGGTGAGTTAAATAAGTCCTTGGTCAATTTGAAAAAAACATGGATACATTCTAGCGTATATTGAAGATGAAGAAGGCATAAGACTTCAGTTGGTTGCTGGAGGAATTGTAGCTGTTGTAGTCATACTGGTTGCAGTAATCGTTTTGACAGTTCTGTTTTTGAGAACAAGATCTAGCGATGAATGCAATAAAAAACAACCTAGTGATTGTGATACATTAGAATATAGAAATGGCGAAGGTTAGTATTACTTATGCTAATATCTCGCGTTTAATTTAGATTAAGTAGCATTGCATGCTGAAAAATGTACCTATGTATTGAGGATTAGAAGAAGAAATCCGCCCTGTCCACCCACTAGAAAAGTTGTCAGAAAAGTATAATAATATCATCAAATAGATTGGACTCTAATTGGCGAGAACACTAATTTCTGTACAGGAAACAATAACCATCATGATGATGAGGAAAGGTTCACAGAGTTCTTAGAATCAGTATTTTTAAATGAATTCAAAAAATATTTCCCATGAGCACGAAGAAATCTGCCTTCGGTGCTGACGTCACTGTCGTGTGTCTCGGTTGAAGTAATTTTCTTACATGATGAACTACATGGTGCATTGACATGACTGAACATCATCTCGACTGTTTACAGTTTCTCCAAGTTGATAAGTTTTGTGATGATATTTTCTTCATATTTCCTTGCCGGAAGGGGCCCCCTGTCAGAAGAGAGTCCCAACTCCCAACATTCATTATTACACATTCAGTAAAAGAATAATATTGTCTTCAATTCATTTAAGTCACCTACTTAGTTGCATACACAAGTGCAGAATGTATTAAAATTTCAATGTATCTGTAAAAAAAAGTTTTAACCCAGTTTTGGAAAGAATGGTCATAATCAAACTAATAATTTCTGGGATATGCGCGGACAAACATACATATAAACACCTACAAAAATTTGTATATTGGTTTACATTTAATATTTATTTCAAATTAGGTACCTTTAATTTGAAGTGGATTATTGGAGAACCAAGTAACTATAATTATGAAGTTTGTATATGCCTACTTCACGTAGAGATTTATCGTAAAACCCATACAAGTAAAAGTATATTATAAAATGAAAAATTATATTATCGTTGGTTCAGTATCTTTATATTGGGGGGAAGTCATCCAATGAATTTGCCACGGACCTCGAACGGTATAGTTACGCCACTACTAGTGTAAAATCGGCAACCGGGAAGCGTAACTACTAACCTTACGACAGTGCAGACCCAACCCGCTCTGTTAAGCAGTATACTTTGGAACATGAAAATCGCGATTCATGAGATTTCTAACCATACTAACGTACAGTGAAGCTAGGGCCTGGATGGTAGTAAATTTAGTAAATGTGTTAGCCCTCTTGATTTGATGAAAGAAAGAAAATAAAATAACGCGTCACAGCGGGTTGTGAAAATTTCATCTTTCATATTGTTCAAGCTGCTGAAGAAATTTTCATTTTCAATTATTATAAATGTTCACTAATCAGTTGGTTCATTTCTTGTTGAAGGAACAATCTTCATTCTCCATAATATGTTTATTATATTCCATACATTCATTATACAGTTGCTATGATGTATATTTTAATTCCTTCCATTTAATAAAAAGGTGTTACATCATTATATAATAAGCAATCCTTGCAGATACTTGAAGCGTTAAGGTTATGGGCCCATGCTGGCGCTAAAGCATCTAGCAGTGTTCTGAAAGGGCGAACATACCATATTTGTAATAAACTGGTCAAGATAACGTCGTGGTCCAAAAATATAGCCTGAATTCAAAGTAGAATAACTCACGAATTTCCTTACCAATTAGAAATCGGTTTTCACCGATGATTAGCCTAATCTCTTGACAGTTTATTGTGGCAATATGAAACTTTTGTAATTTTAGATAACAGTGCTACAGGGGGATAATTGAATGGGTGTAAAATTGCATCGTGGTCTTCACCTTACCAAAACAGATAATTTTTTTTTCTCACCTGTATCTTCTTGAATGATGCTTTTTCTCGTAACGTTCTCGAAATTTTCAAATTCAGAGCTTTGATAATTATTCAAAATGATGCATTTTTTGCATACGTATAGTCATCGGATATACGATCGTGTTCGAACACAGAAAATTCTGAACTAGTCTATACAAATTGATACAAGAAATACTGAATGATGGAATGGAGAATAACATAGTCTTCAGTAGATGAAACATAATTTTCTCTGTGTTACTAGTGGAATAATGGAGTGTTACTTCGTCATGATGATGTCTGGTTTCTGATCTCGAAATGGTTTTGTGATTTATCGGATCGAAGGTCATATAATGAAGGTACGCATTTTTAATCAATATGATACATTTTCGTTAGGATAAATTATAAAATCGAAAAATCACGATTGTAGTTCCAGAATTATGAAATTTATATCATGAAACTAGACAATATAACTTGTTCCATCTTGACGCCGCTAGCTCCCTAATCGGACAAAAAAGATTCACTCATTCAGCCTTAACTGAATTCAATAAACTACCTGATAATATAAAAAATTGCAGAAATATAGGTATATTCAAAAATGAAGTAAAAAAACTGATTATTTCTCAGCGGACTTGATAAAATTAATCATGCAATTTTTTTTTTACAAATATTATTCTTTGCTTGCCAATTTACAGTTGTTGATATATTTTGAATGATGCTATGTTTACCTATAGGTATATAATTATGTACTTCCTTATACCAGATCCTATTCTGTCTGGAAGTTATTTGTTCAATAAATAAATAAATAAATAAATAAGGTGCGATAAAAAATATATCTAGATTATCCCGTAATGAAGCAGAATATATTTGAACGTGATGAAAATCGCTATGTTCCGAAAAAGAAATATAGTGTCGGTCATTGTCGAAAATTGTGAAATGGATAAATACAGTAACTTTTCATGAGGTTTATACGAGGAAATATGAAAGAGACTGCAGAATTGCCATAGATTCGATCAAATGTTTTTCATACTAATGAAGATAATTACAGTAAGTCCTCATGAGGAGTTTTATAGGAGGTAATATGAAAGAGCAGAGAGCAGATCATATAGCTAAGTACAATGAACTCTGGTCGTGGAATGGCTTGTGGAACGAACTGCTAAAAAATCAATTACTTAGTTCACAGATTCTCTTGAAGCAACATTACTTCCCCTCGCCAATTGTTCGGCATCAAAAGGTTCATTATTTTTAACTACCCATCCCGATGAACTTGAAAACAAAGTTGGAAAAGCATTTTTTGGAATGAAGAAGAGATGAGAAGACAATCCCCCAAGGAACGCAAAAAATGGTATACAGGACACACAATAAAAAATTGTAGAAATAAAGAAAGGATGAGCAAAAGGCTAACATAGTATTCTGTGATAAGTGATGAAATGGCATATCAAGCATCTCCTTCAAAGCAAGCTTCCAATAAATGAATTTCCGACACAGGTGCTGTCACACATGACAGGAAATAGGAATGTTTGCAAATCTCCATCCCTGTAAAGGGTTCTTGAGACATCAGTGTGAAACCAGTCACAAGTTCCTGCCACAATTTCGCCAATTATTCGAGGCGTGCGCCATACCACCAATAGTCGTTTATTACTAATTTATACTCGTGGCTGGCCATGAAATTACCAAAACTTCCAGAATATGTTCGTGGAAGAAAATATTTTCCATTAATTTATTCCTCTAAGGGTCTATAATAATCTGTATATCTCACAAGATTGTCCTTTTTTATCATCAGAATTGAAATGTTCATGAATATCTTGGGAAACTATAAAATCCAAAGAAATTTCAATGAGGGGTAATGAAGATAACACGTTATAGAAGGATTCTAAAATGGTAGGCTGGATATTATCGAGAAATAATGGAAACATTTTCCAAGAGTCAAGTGAAAATTTAGCCAATGTCAGTATTTCGACTGGGCATACATGTTGGTGAAATCAAGAAATCTGTAGTAAGTCCATGTGTGTTATCAACAGAAAAATATTAAATTGACTGTAAATCCTCTAAAAAAGTCTGAAACGATGAGAAAAATAAGCAGACAAGATGGAAATTCTTGTTCTGGAATATCAAAAAAGATTCATTCTGATGTAGCAGGGTCATTTTCCATGAAGTCTGTACGAGGCAAGAGCTGTTATGTTTCATTAGATAAAGATGAAAATTTTCAAATACGATAATGGAAGTTATACTCTCTTACTCTTAATTCTTTGAAACACTACTTCGAAAATATTGGTATAAAATGAGAATATTCTATTCCACAAGTGCATGAAACAAACAGATCAACTGAACGTTTCAATAGAACAATAACTACGATGGCTAGAACACATATTATCGAGTCTGGGCTTTCTGAATCCTTGTGGGCAGAAGCGATTGCATATGCAGTTCACACAAAAAATGACCTTCTTAATGCATTCACTGGAAATACTCTCTTCGAAAGAAATGTTTTATAATGAAAAGTCATAAGCCAATTGAAAGTATTTGGTCGAAGTGCTTTCACCCATATTCCAGATGAAATACGAATAAAAGGTGATAATATATTCAAGGAGCGAACCTTTGAGGCATTCAAGGTTGGATATGGTACTAAGGAAGGGTGGTATCGTTGCTTGACAGGCAACAAAGTTACCACTAGATACTATCTTCTTCTTCTTCTTCTTCTCTGCACAGGTGGGCGGGTGCGTAGACCCCTGCACTCAGGCCTCTTCAGTCGGGCCCATTGTGCGCCCACTTGTCCTGTGAATCAGCTAGGCATGCCGATTTCTTTGACGAAATTCAGCAGCTTCCTCAGCTGAGTCACTTTCACATCCTTTGGGTGCAGTACAATGCTCCCAAAGGCAGCTTTCCTCTGATGCACCAGAGCGGGGCATTCAGTGAGTATGTGTGATGATGTTTCATCATCCTCCAAGCACCATCTGCAGATGGGATCATCTTTGATCCCTATGAGTTCTAGGTGCCTGTTGAGGTGGTTGTGCCCAGTTAAGAGCCCAACTACCATCTTGAGATTCCTTCTATTAAGTGACAGGATCTCTCTCGTGAGCCTTTTTGAAGGTTCCTTTATATGGAGCTTTGATTGTCTCATTCCTGGTGTGTCCCACCATGTTTCAAGGAACTGCCTCTGTATCATTTCCTTCATGAAGGACATAGCCGTACTATTGGGTATTCCCAATATCGGTTCTGGTCCAATGGGTGTCGTTCCTGAACCGATCTTGGCTAGTCTGTCTGC